TGGGGCAACGGTGGATTAAATTTCCATTCAATGTCATGTAAAACCATAATTCATTGAAACGCTTTTTATACTCTTCGGAATTTAGAGAAGGAATAAGGAATCAAGAGTATTTTGGCTCCTATAAAATTGGTTCCACAATCGGAGTAAATACATTTAATAGGACCACGCGGGCTAGGAATCGTTTCAAGCAATCTAAAAATGTATCGCTTGTTAAATCTGAAGCTAATCGAGATGTATCGCCTTAGTGGCTAAACAGATGAAACAAGCATATATAAGCCTTGTAGGTTCGAGCGCCTCTGTGACGACTCATGGAGATATTGAAGGGGCCTGCATAATCAACGCCGACGTTTAGGAAAAGCTCTACTGGCTGTTATGCGCGGTACTGGTAAGTCGCCCATGAATGGAAAATGGGTTTCGGATTCTGTCGAAAAACAAGTTATACACTTGTTAAGACGATTGCGAATTATTTTGCCGAGCCGACAAGATCCAATATTTTTGCCTCAATAAAGATAATACTAAGTTTGATCCAGTATGTAATTATTAATATGGTAGTAATCTATGAGACAATTTACTACTTGGTCTTTTTTTGGCAAAAGAAGTGGATTGTTATTAGTTGTTAATCCTAATCTACCTTTAACGCGTAAACAATTATTAGAATCCAAAACACATTTAGTCGGCAAAACTTCTTCGAACAAGACTTTCCGTTCGTTAATAGTTTGAATTCTTCGGGAAAATGATGTTCTTGGACTAAACGAATAATAATAACCTCGGCTTGTTTCAAATCTGAAGTCAAAAGTCGGTTTCGATTTGTTATAATTTTACAAAACTTCAATATATAAGCGAAAATTCTACAAGTTTGCACCAATTAGAAAATTTTTGCGTTAATTCATATAAAGGATTGATCGGTGGTAATGACACTCTTTACTATTAGAGCGTTAGCTTTTCTTTCTTGATCAATATCTCCGGAAGGTTCAACCGTTTTTGCAGGCCAAGTTGATATAGGACCATTCAACCAATCCGGCCCAAACAACCAATTCTTATGTTGGATAAAATCCTTAGGTCGAAGACCTCGAGAAACACAATCGGCTGCATTTTGATTAGAAGGAATGTGAAGCCATTGTGCATTAGGAATGAGATCCCGTATTTTTGTTACCCTATTGGCTACAAATGTTTTCCAACGAGTAGCCGGTCCTGCTAACCAGTGAAGGACAATCATAGAATCGGAAAAACAGTAAATAGAATCAAAATCTATACTATGTTGGTTATTCGTTAATATAAAATTCAGAAGTTTTGACAGTAAATGACAGGCACAAAGTTCAAGCCTGGCTAATGTTTGGTTTTTAATCGGTGTTACACGCGATTTTGAAATCAACAAGAAATTCGGATTGCCAAGAGATTTAATATAAACTACCGCTCCATACGCTTGCTCTGAACTATCCGCGAAACCAAATAATGAACATTTGTTTTGTTTTGATGTTTCGAGATAACGCGGAATCTGATAGTTATTAAGATGCTCTAATTCGGAATATACGGCTAACCATGATGTAATAATAAATGATGGTAATTCCTCATCCCAATCGATTTTTAATGTCCAATTTTTTTCAATAATATTTTTATCTTAACAACTATCGGAGTTAGGAAACCCAGAGGATCCCAGATTCGCGCTATTACTGAAAGAAGTTGTCTCTTTGTCCATTTTCTCCACGTAAGCTTTATTTCGAATGAAAAATTATCTGATAAGGGATCCCATTTTAATCCCAATACCTTTGTAGAAGATTCCATTTGAAAATCCGATTTAGAGAAATGTTTATTTTGTACATCAGAATCAGAAAAAGTTTACGCAGATTAGAATTATTAGATTCCCACTTTTTTAATTCAAAACCACCAGACGATAATACAGTCTGCAAACCTCGCAAATGGTTTTAGCGCTATCCAAGGAGTCGATACTTGTAACCACATCATCAATATAGACATCGTTCTCAAGAATTCTAGAAATAGATTGAGAATATTTGGAACATTCGTCTCGGGATAGTTGTTTGATGGTTCTGATAGCTTGAAAGGGAGATGATGATAGACCAAAAGTTACGGTATTTAATTCATAGATGCCAATGGGTGCATCGGGAAACGGTCTCCATAAGATTTTTTGATATTTTCTATCTTGTTTACGAACCCAAATATTACGATACATTTGTTTGATATCAGCTGTTAATGCTATAGGCCCGAAACGAAAATTTAGAAGGATTGAACAAATGTCGGTTTGTAATTTAGGACCAACATGCAAAATTTCGTTCAAGGAAGTGAATTCTGAATTTTTCGCAGATGCATCAAACACAACGCGTAAAGGCGTGAGGAACTTTCTTTTTCGACTGCGAAATGTGGAATATAATATCCATTTTTTATTTTAAAATCATCGACTTCATGATCTACCGGACAATAATCGACAAAGGATAATTGGTTTTGAGTCAGGTAATCTTCTATGACGGCGGCATATTTTTTATGAAATTCGGGATTTTCAAAAATTTATTTCAAGCATGTGGTATCGCTTTAAGGCTAAATGAAATGATTTGTATAAATTTCTGCCTTCACTTTTAAAGGCAGCGCTACTACATATCGTCCATCTGGAGATCGCGTAGTAGTTGTAGTAAAATGGTTTTCGCATAAATCATCGTTAGAAGAGAGGATTATTTCGGGAATGTCTTCTAATTGTAAGAATTTATTTCATTTAAATGAAAATCTGAATCTGAAACATTACATAAATTAGTAGAAGTGCCGGTATTTTTCAAATAAATCAGGAATGGAACCTAATATTAGATAACCCAACCGGTTTCTAGGGCCACAGGTAATCCTTTATCATTTTAACCTGATGTGCCAAGAATTTCGCCGAAAACATCGCAACCCCAAATTCCGTCGACCTCCTGGGGTGTATGAAAGTTAGGATCCGCTAAAGGATAATTCAGAAATGTTTTGATGGATGAAATCGGAATGGTAATTTGTGGTTGCTTTCCCACTATCTCGTGTACTACGTATGCACAGACCGATAACTGATAAGAATCAATTAAAGATTTCAAAGTGAAATTAACTATCCAATAACTTTATGTGACGAATTGCCTAACCCGATCACTTGGGTTGATATTGGAAGAATTTGTAAATCAGCCTTTTTGCACCAAGTTAATGTCACAAAGTTTCTATCGCTTCCCGAATCAATAATTGTACGTAATAAAATGTTTTCTTTTCTAGTAGTAACTTTTACTACTGCTGTCGGCAATATGGTAATATGATGTGCGATTTTGTTCTGATTAAATGCGCATAAAACCGTACTACTTGATTTGGAATTAGAAAGATTATTTTGATCCGTACTCGCAAAATTGCTGCCAGTATGCAATAGCGAGTGATGTCGTTCGTTACATAATAAACAGGTTTTATTTCGATCGACACGTAGTCGTTATCTTATGACCCAAACAATTGTCGCATAAGTTTTAATTTTTGAATAAGGGATCGCCTATCAGGTTATACTCAATGAAAGAAATTTCGAACAAGTAAACACTCTGTGTTGTTCCCGACACACAAAGCATTGTTATCATATTTATTTTTTAACAAAAAAATGACCGGCTAATTTTAGTGTGTTTTGTAATTGGGTTTGTCATTAGTGAAATTGTTGGTCATACCATATACTTGATTTTTTGCCTGTTGTGACTTTTGAAGAAAATGCAGGAGGTCTTGGTATTTGGGAAACTCACTTGAGAAAAATGCTCGAATTTTTCTTGTAACAACGGATCGAGTTTCGAGAATGCCAGTGACGTAATAAGGAAAATCATAGCGTCGGGAATATTCAATTGGGAGAGCGCTTGCACCGCGTATCGAAATTTTTCCAGGAATGAATTTATTTGTCCAGATGAAATGGTTTTGAATGACAATAGTGTTTGAAATAATTGGTGGCTAAGTACCGTTTATTTTGGTATTTTTTATATGAGCGCTTCCAAAGAATTTGATAATTATTTGCGGTCGGTAGTATAGAATGAAATATTTTTAAAAACCGGACCCTGTAAACGCTCCTTTTAAAAATGAAATTTGATACATTATCTAACTCGGTATTTTCATGAATTAGTGAATTGAATGTTTCATAAAATAATGGCCATTGTTGAATATCTCCTGAGAATTTAGGTACTTCAATGGACGGTAAATGTTGTTTGGGTACTATGTCTTTAATTGAAGAACTATGCGCATTTTTATTATCTAGTAATTTCTCAGCGTGTTTTATTTTGGCATACATCGTTTCAAGGGCCTTTATTGCGGAATATTCCGGAATGAAACTAGGATTATCTAAATATTTTAATTTGTTTATTTCATCGCACAATTGAATAAATTGTTCACGAGCATTTTCAGTAATATATAATTTTCAAGAAATTGTGTCTTTTTGAAGATACATCAATCTGTTGCGATAGATCGTACGTTTCTTGCACAATTGAAAAGTACATCTCTCTCTTGGCGGTTAGACGTGCAATTTCTGCACCAATATCGATTTTAGGCGCCATTATATATTTTTGTTTTCTGTATACACCCAATTAATCCTAATAATAATTAGGATCCGGCTCGAAGGACCAAATGTTGATGTTGGGGGGTTTCTCAACCCCTTTCGAAGTATTTTATACTTCGAGGAAAAATAAAAAAATTAAATGTATTCAGAAAACAAAAACCAATGGTAAACAAATATAAATTAAAAATAAAATTCTTCTTACTCCGTAATCAATAATAAACTAAAATATATTCTATATAAATTTTATATAAATGAAAAAAAACAAAAATGAACACTAATTAATATTGTATGAAAATGTTATCTGTTTTGGAAGTCCAAGCCGCGGCAGCTATTTGGTTGGATCTGGAAACATCAGCGTAGTCGGTTGGATAGGTTGAAAAGAAATTCGAATACACTGACAAATAAAAATAACTGTTGACTTGACACACAATAGAAATTTAATCCACTGATAATATTGAACTGATAACAAACACTGAAAGGAACTGAATGTATTGATTGCAAGTAACTGAATGAATGAATTAAACCAAAATGAATGAAAGCCACGGAATAAATCGACTCGAACACTGAAAGGAACTGAAAGTAACTGAACGAATGAAAGGCGCGGAATGAATTGATTTGAATGCCAAAAACTATTGCCTGCATCGGCCTTTTTATGAGTCAGAATTGCCCGATTGCCTAAATTTGAAACGTATTGTCCGAGTAGAAAAACAAACCTTTTACAGGTCCGACAACCTACACAGGTGCGGCGCAAACATATATATATATATATATATATATATATATATATATATATATACGCATTTTATATATGTCTACATATTTCTTAGTGAGTTGATTTCATATTGAAATCTATATCCATTAACTGAATAAATCGCATTACAAGTAACATCAATATATACATTACATATAGATTACTTAATAAATTCAGAAGTATATACTAAGCTTTCAAGCGAAAGCTAGTTCGTCTGCATTATAATCCGGAACAAAATCTTTGAATTATTCAAGATGAAATGAAAATGCAGCTCGATACAATGTTATCTAAAATATCCGCTCTATATGATAACACATTTAGATTCTGAATAGTTATGTTACATGTTAAATATAAATACGTACAACAAAATATAAATACATAATATGTATTATGTACAATAAATTGTTTAATCATACTGCTAATTCTAATTTGAAAATTATACTTAATATCCTGCTTCAGAATAACCAGTTTTATTAATCATTAGCGAACAGATAAAATACAAATATTAACATTCGCATGCACTGACTACATGCGTCCTGATGTATTCATATTTATTATTATGTAGATATATATTTGTATATGTTCTGAATTTACCATAAAGTGGAATGCTCAATTTACAATGAAAGTGATAATAGTTATATTATTCCAAATGATCAGGATCGTGTTACATATATTCAGCAGAAATGATAGTTATTGGAAGCCATAAATATGGCTGCCAAAATAATTTCGGATGTACCTACACATATTCCATCAGCCAATTTTGCATGTGTTAATAAAATTAATGACTTATAACATTTTGACTAGATGAGAAAATATATTTTTATATATGAGCTATTCAGTGCACGTACTGATAACTGAAGTAGTTAAGTATGTTACTTACGAAAATTCATGTTATAATATAAATTCAAATATATAACGTAGAACATAATTA